CTCGGAAGGGAGTCAAATTTGTATGGAGTGAGACTTGTGAAAAGTCGTTTCAGGAGTTGAAAGTTAGACTGACTACCGCTCCAGTATTGATTATTCCAGAGAGAGGGTTGGGTTATGCAGTCTATTGTGACACCTCACGAGAGGGTCTTATTGAGTTTGAGAAGAAGTTGAGGCTTGGCCTCAAGCTGAGAGTTGGGGGAACTATGATTCGGGATTATGGGCGTATGGTTGATGCTGCAGCCCGCATGGAAATCATGATGCAGGAGGAGGAGGAAGGACAGAAGGGCTTTTATTTGTATAATTAATTCATGGAGTTGGGAAAAGATGGTTTAATTCATGGAATTGGGGAATTCATTGGTTAAATAGCGTAATTGGGTAATTGGAATCATTTGTCTATTGAATTGTTGACATAGTTATTTTCAGTTTAGAAATAACTGTTTTGGGCTATCGGTGGAGGATAGTCGTGATTGTTGTAGACATTGCATGTGGATTAGGAATAACTGAAACTGATCACATTTGTTAAGTCATTAATTTTGACTATGAAATTGATACAGAAAATACGTGTATTGATTGAGCATTGCATTTGCCTACATTGTTTTGTGTGGGAGGAGATAGGGGATGTACTCCACGGTTTAGGGGGAGATAGGGGATGGACCTCTAAACCGGATTTTTGTTTGGGAGGAGATAGGGGATGGACTCCATTAGCATCACTTTTATGTGTGCTTATTTATATAGAAGTGTTTTATTGATACAGCACTAAAATGTGTATCAATCTGGAAGTATGAAGTGTTTTGAATTGAGCTTGAGTCTCATTTGTTTGTTGATATTGGAAGAATGTGAATATGATATATATAATTCACTGTTGTAAGTTCGGCCAGGTTCTGAGCCATGTTGATTAAGTTGGAAAGTAAAATGTATCTTAGACAATAGTGTCTTGAGGCTGTAAAATGAGGTAATTGATTATCTTTGTTAACCATCTGTTGAATGCTATTGCTTTATTCATTGCTTATATGTGGTTTAGAATATTTCTACTGGGTTGTGGCTCACCCTTTATAGGAACATCATTTTCAGGTTCAGGTGATAAACTACCTCCAAGGACTTAGCTTGGGAGGGTTTGGCTTCTGGTTTGAAACAGACTACCTTTAGTTAATTGTTTATTTATTAGTACATGTAAACATTCAAACCTTGGGCTTTTCTTGTATTGAGTTAGAACTCATATTTTTGTATCCAAGTGTTGGCTTGGAAAGATGTAAGCCTGTAAGGCATTTTATTCAATGTTACATGTAATGCTTTATTTAGTAATACTCTGATGAATGAATTAATAAATTGTCTTCTTTAAATAATGCATGTCAATGATATATATAATGGGTTAATTTTGAGGGCGTTACAATGCAAATAATAATAATAATAATAATAATAATAATAATAATATGAATTGATGCTGGTGAAAGAACAGCAGAAACATAACAGAAGTCATCAGTAACTGTACCATTGATCCCGACCTTTGTCTTCCCACCACTTTGTGATTCTAAACAACAGCAAAATAAAATAGGAACGTCAACAAATACAACTCCTCGGTTATGCAGACTAATATACTATTATGCTCTAAATTTGAGAGTATTATGATTCTTACTCTGGGCTGTAGGAGGCATTTCGGTAGCAATGGCTTTGGCAGGCTGCATACTCCTAGCACTACATTTTCTGTATGGTTTAGACAAAATCATTCAGCACCAATAACAAGAAGCAGATGCTACACTCAATTGCAGACACACACACACACGCACAAGCAGGCAGAGAGAGAGAGAATGAATTAATGAATTACTCAACTGTACAGGAGATGACTTGCCAGGAACAACAGCACCAAAAATGCTTGACTGAAACTTTGGTGAATTTAGATTGCGATTGAAACCAACAGAAAACACCTGAAACGAAACAAAATAATAACAATTCCATGCCGTGCATCACAATTCAGGGGCAGGGGCAGGGGCAGGAGCAAGTAAAGCCTATGACATGCAAACAAAATTACAACATCCAAACCCAAACTCATACTAAATTCATTAAGAGGAAGGAGCAATTATTTATTTATTTATTTATTTAATTTCTCACTAAGAAACAGAACGTGATCAGAATAATTAAAGAACAGTAACCAGAAACAAAATTATGAATCCTCTACTTTGTGTTTGTTCTGATTTCCAAAAGCCAAACAAACTTAAAAATTGAAGGGGATATTTCCATTTTAATTTGTTATCTCAGCTTAAAATTTTTCAACACGAAATAAAATCACATTTCAAATCAAGTTAATCTCTGACAATAAACTAATGAGCGAAAACCAAAGCAGGCAAGAGAGAAAGAGTAAAGCATGGTTTTAAAGTCGGAAAAAAAATAAAAAATAATCAGAGGTTGTTGCAGTTGTAATTTTCTTTTATTTTCTGATGGATGAAAAATCACCTTGGATTGATCGGCAGAACGGAGGGCAGGGCCTGGCAGGGTGGCCTCGGAAAGTGAAGCTTCGAGAGCAGGAGTTGTAGATCTGAGGAAAGAAGAGAAAGCCATTTCCAAGATACAAACTCTTCTCTCTACTTTTCAGATATCGATCGATCAAATGTTGTTGTAAATATATATGTGTATACGATAGTAAAACCCTAGAGGGAACCTGAGGAGGCCTTGGCTTGGCTTGGCTTGGCTTGGCTTCGCTGGCTTTTTGAGGGAAAGTAGAAGGAAGCCAACTTCTCGAATTTTTAAATGCGGAAATTGAACGGAGATTCTTATGTTATGCTATCATATGTGCCTCTCTCTCTCTCTCTCTGTCTCTCTCTCTCTAGAGCTTCCCCCCCCTCTCTCTCTCTCTCTCTCTCACATACTATCAACCAAAAAAATGTCTCTCTCTCTCTCTCTCTAAAACTACCACTGTCAATGACCATACCACCCCCACCTGTGTTTTTGAAGTTGGTGAGTGAGTTTGTTGTGTTGTGCAGATCTCGGAAGCCACGTCAGACTGCCACCTTTGCCCTTTTATGACTCTGCCCCGCTCTCCCACTCGTATCCACGTCGGCACTTTTTTTTTTAAATTCATTTTGGGTACCTGTAAAGTTTGACATTAATCATATTCATATTCATAATTGGTTAAATTAATTTTAAAGCATTAGTATTTAAGATTAAAAATTATATTTAATTTTTAAACTTAGTAATATAGCAATTAATTAAAATATTAAAAATAATATTTTATCTCATGTTTTTTAATTATTAATCAATCATAACATTTACAAATTATTATGTCTATAAAATAAGTCTAAAAAGTAGACTTGTATAATATTTTTCTTAATTTTAATTATATAGTATAAGCTCATCAAACCGTGATAACAAAAATAAATTTCTTATAATGATCCTACATTTAAATATTTTTACTCAAAGTCCACAATCCATAATCCGCATGTGTAGTCAAAGTGTTCATAAAAAAATAATGACTAATTTTAGTGGAGATGTCAAGGCTGAAAATTTATTTTTTAGTTTAAGCTTATCTTTATTTAAAAAAACATGTTTGAACTGTTATTTTTAATTCATACACCAAAAAAAAAAAAAAACCCTACTTATGCATATATATTCAAAGCAAAAATGTAAAAATTTACTTCCAAGTTTCAATTGTTTAAAGGATGATGTAATGTATGTTCATGTATGAATTTAGGGGTCAAAATCAAATCAACAATCCTTCAAGATTACATAAATAGAAATGTTGGTTTGATTATCTTTCTTTTGTAATTTTAATATGATTTTGTTAACGTTTGTTCTTGTAAGGTATGTTAAGTCGTCTCTAGGTCTCAGGTTTAAAATCTCTTAGGTGCTATCAACTCATATGTTGAGCCAGTCCATACGGAACTCTACTCTGGCTTTAAATGGGCCCCCCACTAGTGGACGGTGGGATTGGTCCCCAGGAATTAATTGAGGTGCGCACAAGTGTAGACATCCCCGAACGTCTCGAGAAAATCCCGTTTTGTTCATTGGGCTGACTATAGTTCGGACTCAATGTCACGGTTCTTAATCTGATTTCGCAAAGTGCAATACGAGATTAATAAATCACCAAAGAGTCCAAATCTGACAAATCGTTTTGAAAAACAAATTTTTAGAAAGAAGTGTCAAATTTAGAAAACCCTGACTCGTGCCTGAGGCCACGTGTCCGTCATCACCAAAGTTGTCTTGGCAAGGGAATTTGGGTACGATTGGGGAAGGTCATGTAATAAGCACCCCCGCTCGCCCAATCAAAGATCGGCCACTACTAAACATGATATCTTGTTTTTGAAAACATATGTGCTCTTATTCCTGTTTATTAGCCTAGAATTGCTACGTGATGCGCACAGCATATAAGTATAGACTGGATCGTCTAAGTTGGAACAAAACATCTCATGTTTGTTTTTGAAAGCGGTTTGCTACTCGCAAGTAGGCTAAAATGCGGATTTTGCCACCCTCAAGTGGGCTTAGAAAACATGGTGATTTGCCACTCTCAAGTGGGCTTGAAACTCGCAATCGATGAATTGTTCCAATTTAAATAATTCAACATTCTCCCACAGGCACTCAGGCAGGTATATCACATAAGCAGTTAGCCTCAGGGCAAGCATGCTATCATAGCCGTCACTCACACACATGCAAGGATGCTAAAGCATAAATACTCACCGAGTACTCCAAGCCAAAAACAGAAACTAGTTAGCAATCAATGCATGATCTTAGTTCATGTTAAGCTGGCTAATGTAACAAATGCAAAATGCAACTAAGATAGGCTCAACTATTCTAAGATGTCATATGAGATGGTACAGATAACATATATTCAACTCGGAATTGAAATACAATGCAGTTAGTATGATGCGCCGAGCCCAGTTCATGCAAGACAGATGAATGGATGCAATCATGCGAGCATAAGGATGCTAATTGAAACATGCCTTAAAACTAACCATTATAAGCTGGTAAATAAAAGGGAGAAACACGTGGAGTTGGAAGACATGCATCACACACACGCACACTTATTACAACAGTTGGCCTTCTCGACGGAGGGTCTGAATAAATAATACAACACCAACTAGCTAATCTAAGCTAATCTAATTAAGCTAGTTATTACACAACCAAAATGAATAATAAATTACAACTAATTATTACACAACTCTAATTAATTAACAAACTAACTAAGTAAGCAATTAAACTAGCATGCAAACTACAGGAATGTGGACTGCCTCAGCTTTGCCTTGAATGATAAAGGATGCATGCATGCTCGAGTCGTCTTGTCGGGAAATCCATCGCGATGCCCCGGCTTGCCTTAGTTTGCAATTGATTTCAGAAACTTGCACAAAGCTCCAGAGAGATTAAACTCCACCCTGGGAATCTGTGGGAAGGCTGCCGACCAGCTTATAGGCATGGGAGACCAATGGCCAACCACCTTTTGTGGTGGAAACCAAAAAAAATGGTCAGCCTACCAGTAAATCTGGTCAGCCGACCAGTTTCCTCTCCTAGTTTCTAGTTTTCTGTAACAAAAGGAAAGGGAGATGCACGGCGAAGTATTTGCAACACATGTGTGCACGACCACTCTCCCCATCCTTGCATAAGCTTAAGGGAGTGTAATCCTCGACCCTCGGGCCACCAATCACGCATTTCGATACATGATGGCTGAGGAGCCGAATTGCACGACTCAATGTGAAATGAATGCACATATTAACACCTAAAGCCGACAACTCTATCATGGGTAGTCAAGAATGTCGGCGACCGGGAATTGAGTCACGTTTCATCACTTCAAGTATGAAACGTCCCTCGTTTCTGGTGTTTGGGGCTAACTCCTATTCCAAACACAATGCAACACATAACATGGCATGCACAAATACAACTCTAGGTATGCAACCTAAATGCTATGCAACTAAGTGATGCAAACATGCAAAGGATGAACATGCAAACATGCAACTAGCATACACAATGCTATGAACTAACAATGGCATACTCAATCCACATGACACTTAGCATACACAATGCGGTGGAAACTAACATACACAATGAGATGAACAAGGCATGCACAATGTAATGATCAATCATGCGACAATATGGCATACTCAATGCTATGAACTACAATGACATACTCAATGCAAAATGGACTTAAACCAAAATGGATGGGCCTCAGCCACACCCCAATCAGTGGCCAAACATGATGAAAACAAGACTCCAAAACTCATGCTAGCATACACAATGCAAGGACCCAAGCCTAAGGCACAAAAACATAATTTTGCACATGCATTGAACGGACTAAACATGGAGTACAATGGCATATATTCCAGCTCTGAAATGGCATATAACATGACTCCAAAATGACTCCGAATCATGCAAACAACTCACACAACGCATGTTGAATGGCTCAAGCATTGAAACTAGTGAAGTGCACTACACTATAAGCATGCAAAGCGATGCTCAAATGATGAAACCAACCCCAAACTGACCCTATGCAGGTCCAAAACAGTAGCGAAATGGGCTGGGATGATGGCTTGAAAGGCACAAAAGTGAAGCTCATGCAATGGCTTGCAAATAGGGCATAAATACACAACTCTAAAGAGCACTTAAAGCATGGAAAATATGGAAGTGTAGGACCCCTATAAACTCTGAAATATCATGCCCAATGATGCCAAAACATGTAAATAGCTCAAGTTAAGCATGCAAGGGACCTCCAAACTCAAAGCTAGTCAATGCTATTTCACAACAAGTATGCATGGCTAGCATTTTTCGACCAAGAGGCCTCAAGACAGAGCTATGGCAGCCCAAAATATGAACAAAATCAGTTTGAAGTATGGCCAAAATATGCTAGAATAGAGGGCCAAAACAACATGTGTTATGAGCTAGTGAACATGAGATACACTACAAGCATATGAAGCACGTGAAGGACTACCAAACCAAGCAAAAACAGAGTCATGGCATGCAAAATGATGGCCAAAAACCCACTGAAACAAGACCAATACATGCAAGAATGACATGCTCCTTTGATAAGCCATGAAAGGGATTACTCTATACATGCAAGAAGCAAGCAAAAGGGGACCTGTAGACGTCCCCGAAAGCCCCGGGAGGATGAGTCTCGTTCTGTTCATTTGGACTCACTACAGTTCGGACTCTCGAATCGTCACGGTTCTTAATCTAAACCAAAGAGTCCAAATCCGGCAAATCGTTTTGAGAAAAACAGATTTTTAGAAAAGAAGTGCCAAACATGGACTGCTTTGCCAGATACAGAGTCGCCACCTAAATATTTTTTATGGGGGAATTTAGAAAACCCTGACTCGGTGCCAAAGGCCACGTGTCCGTCATCACCAAAGTTGCCTCGGCTCGGGAGCTTGGATACGATTGGAGAAGGTCAGCTATGAGCACCCCCTCTCGTCCGATCCGAAGATCGGCCTCTACTAACCGTGATATCCATTTTTGAAAGCATTATGTGTTCTTATTCCGGTTATTAACCTAGAATTACTATGTTATGCGCACAACAAACAAGTATAGACCAAATCGCCTAAATTGGAACAAAACATAGCATATTTGTTTTGAAAATGGTTTGCTACTCGCAAGTAGGCTAAAATGCAGGTTTTGCCACCCTTAAGTGGACTTTTAGAAAAAATGGTTTTGCCACTATCGAGTGGGCTTAAAACTCACAGTTTTAATGCATTATCCCAATTTAAGCAATTCGACCTTCATCCACAGGCATTCAAGCAGTTATATCACATAAGCAGCTAGCCTCATGGTAATCATGCAATTATGGCAACACTCACATGCATGCGGTATGCTAAAGCAAAAGGACTTACAGAGTAC